ATATATTATACATATATATATATATATATATATATATATTAAAAAAATAAACGAAAATTCCCTTTGTATGCGCATAGGATCACGATTTCCAATTTTGCTCCCTGAACAAAGGTTTGCGTTCATATGCCACCTAAAATTTTCTTAATAGACATATTTATGAGAAAATCAATAGGCATCAGTAATTGTCTACCGAATCTCAAAAAGAGAAAAGCATTTCTCCCCAAAAGAAGTGTACATTTCTTTAAACAATATAGTAATTGGGTTGGGGGTTTTCCTTTCCCCCCACCACTTACCTAAACCGATGTGGCCTTCTGCGTGAGTGAAGTGCTGAGTTTAACACCACCCTTCATTACATCTCCTGAGGGTAAAATTAACAATACCGCCCCACCTCTTTTTTTCTAAGGATTTTCCGGGGAATGTTAGGGTTAAATCGTCCGCGAGGCGATCAGGACCATTTTAATCGTTCCGGATCCCTCCGATTCGGGTGGATTCTTCGCAATGCAAAGTCGTCGACCCCTTTGGCCCTTCTGCTGTTCCTGCAGAAGATGCATTAAATACCCAAAGCAGAACACGCAGCTGTCGAATTGGTCCATCCGTAGGCTATTATACACGACAAATCGCTCTTTTCCCGCCCTCGTGTCCATCCCGGCCGGGACGCCGGGGCCGGCCTGCAAAATCCCCAACACCCGTTGAGGAATTCCCACCAAACACACCACGCAGCCCCACAATAAAAAGTCCATCATCGCCCACTTTTCCTCATGGCGAGTCCAAACCTGGCGAAGGAGATGCAAAACCTCGGTGGTCGCGACGTGGGCTTTGGTAAAAATCATCGCCCCGTTCGCATGGGGTTGTAAACCCCCCCTTCTGGGGGGTTTGGGGGAGCATAAATCCCCTGAAAGCGATACCATTCCGAAAAAGCTGAGGTGGGTGATGGCCTCCACCTCGCCAGGGGCCTCGCCGGGGAATAAACATAACAGCGGCTGCAGAAGTGTAAAGCGCCGGAGTGCCATGTACAGCCGCTTATAAAAGATCTTTTGCTGAAAGGCGAGTTGGTATTCGAGCTGAAAAAGCGAATCGATGGCTTTTTTCGGGGGCCCGGTAAATCGTCTGCGCGGCGTTCCTTCCACATTGATCCTGGCGGAAGCGAGCGGGGCGCCTTCAGGCAAACCCCCCCCTCCCCCCCTCGTCCTCGGCGTGAGTTCGATTTCGGTGACTCGCCGGGATATTGGAGGGAAGCGCTGGTGCATGATCGACGCCGCAATCGCGCGGACGTACAAACGACTGAAAAAAAGCTGCGAGACGCTGCAAAACGGCGAAAACGGGGAATCCCGCGGGCTTTGCGGGGTCGAAATCCCACCACTCGTGGTGCTTTTCCACAAATTCTTCGATGGCTGGCCAGGTATCGAGGCGGCGGCCCCGAAAGGGTATGAAGAAGCGGGCGATCGCAGCGCGGATGGGGCCCCGTCGGGCAAAGAAATTGATGGGAGAAGATTCGCCCGCGGGGTAACCTGCTGCGACCAACCCGCTGGATTACAACGCAGCCAACGCGGTGGGTGGGCTAAAATGCGTTGTAAAAGAAGTAAATACCCCCGGCAGACGTCCTCGAGGTCCTTTCGCCGGCGATCCGCCTCGTTCCCGGTGAAGGTGGTGGGCAACTCCACCAAAAAGCCCCCCACCTGGTCATACAAGTCCAAGGACGGGCCATTGGAGTAGAACGCCGGGCGAGACTCCACCACCGCGCGGCATTGAAGATCCAAGCGAAGATCCGCGCGGGCGCTGACCGGCGTAGTTTGGGGGCTTTCGTTCTCGACGTCGGCCTCGGTGACGGGGATCGGGGCCTCCCGCGTGGCGGAGTCCCCAGACGTGCCGTAGAACCGCAGCGCCAACGGTAGGTCCGCGTAGGCTTGGCGGTTAAAAAAGTCTAGGGCGTCGCGCATTTCGCTGGTGAAATCGCCGGTATAGCACCCATCCCAACGCCAGAGAAAGATACGGCGTAGCGAGCTCGGGACGCGAAGGACGCGCCGCCCGCGAAAGGGCTCTTTTCGCTCGGACTGCTCCCCGCGGACGCCGCCTTTGACGAGGGAAACCAAGTACCCAGGCGAGGTGGAATCGAGAACCCGCGGGGACAGACAAGGCGACTCTTCCTCAGCAACAAAGAGAAGCGGTAAATAGCGCGCCTCCAGAACGATCATACAGCACCCCGCCGACTCAATCGCCTCATAGAGCATGGCGTTGGTCGAAAGGTTGGTGTTGATCAGAGCGGCCGTGGAATAGTAATAAACACTGCTGGAGGTGTTGGCGATCCCGTGGCCCCCATGCGCCGACGCATACCCCAACGACGTGGGAGAAATCGAGGTCGGGACGCCTTTGAAGCTCTGCCCGTCGTAAAGCTCTTGCAGAAAGGTGTGGAGGGCGCCGGAACGGGCGCAGGCGCACCACAGAAGGTCGTACTCCGCACATTGGGATAACATCATCCCAATGCGAACCGACTGCACACTCGTTTCCACCCCACGAACGCATTTCCTCGACGACATCGCGGCGGTGCTGTCTTTCCCGCTGAACCCCAGGGCGTCATTAACATGCAAAAGATACGACTCCCAGGCGAGGGCCTCACTTACTAAACAGGTCAACTTCACCGCCTCCTCGTAGGTGACCCGCGAAAAGCTCTGCGGTGCTTCGAACGACGCCGCGCTGGACTTCGCCGCCAGGTCGAACTCGATAAAAACCTCATCGGCATTCGCGCTCTCATCGCTCCAGAGAAACCCATCCGCCTCCTCCTTCGCCTCGCGGTTCGAGTATTGGGCGTCCATCGAGGAGGTCGCGCGGGTGATGAGCAATTCCAACAACTGCACATCCATCGCCCCTGCGTGGGTGATCCGGACGAAGGTGTTAAGCGCCCCCAAGAGCTGCCCAATCAGCCCCCGCTCCACTTTCCGCACCCGCATCGCCTCCGCGCTCGGGCCCTTTCGCGCACTCCGCGGGGTGATTTGCGGGGAAGAAATCGAACGCTGCGAAGGAAGGCTCGTCCCGCTAAGGCCCTTTTCATCGTGATCGGCCTCGGAGTCTTCGTCGATCGCCCGTAGCCTCCCCTCCCGATCCTCCTCGATGGAGTTCAAGACGGAATGGAGCTGCAGGAGGGTGGGGGTGGCGCTCCAGGTATCCCCCCCTTTCGCCACGTCCGTGGCGGCATCGCCGGGGAACAGGCAGAGATTCGGCGTGAGGTGAACACCCAGCGAGGTCAAAAAGGATTGAAAGAAGGAATAAACCCCCTCCACGGCCCCCTGCATCTCACTCGAGAGAAGAGAACCACAGGCCTTGAGAACACACGAGAGGGGCTGGAGGCACCACTGCCATTGGTTGCCGAAGGACATGACACACACCCTTCCTATGGACTGGGGAAGACGCCGTAGAAAAGAATGCAATACACGTTATGTGAATTCTTTTGGGTTAAACTTTGAGAAGAAAAATAAATATAGATATATATAATCAATATATAAACCAATAAAAATATATATATATACGCAGCACAGCCACTGCGCAAAATGAAGTTATGACTGTGAGATAGACTATGCACTTAACGCGTAACCGTATAGATTTTGAATTATCCTTTGCCTTTGTTCCCGTTATAGTGTTTTCACTTTATGTAAATGACAAACCGAAAGTATTTAAAGAAGATGCGGGAGAATGAAAGGATGAAGAATAAAAATGAGGCTCCACAGAGAGTAAAAATATTCCTACAAATCATCCATGTCTCCTATAAATCTTATTTAACCCTTGACAGTTCAAATGTAATTTAGACAAGCATAATTTTTTAAAATACATACATATATAAATATGTATATATATATATATAGATAGATAGATATTCTTACAGCAATGTATCTACACCTGTCTGAAATAGAAATAACTGACATGTATACTGATTTACAAACACTGCTACAACTTCCTTTTAGTTCCACAATTCTAAACAAAAATGTTTCGAAAAACACATGATGATATGATATCTAAACATTATCGCCGGACAATTTTAGGAGGAAATCCATCCTTTCTGTAAGGGCTTCAAACTTTAGGTTCCCCCTTTTTCTGATGTTTATTTAAATAAATTATTTATACCAACCTCAATCAATTGCAATTTAGAAAGGCTGAAAGCCTCCAGCGCCTCCGCGAGCCCTGCCGCGTCCACCTCGATGAGAGGACGACCCATTTGCGGAGGCCCCTCCCGCCATCATTCCCATCAACGCCGCGATGGCCTGGTAGGGATCCAACATCCGCCCTCGCCCGGCCCCGCCACGTCCGCGGCCTTTACCGGGTTTGAAGTTGGAACGCTTGCGAGTAACCTTTACGAGAAAAAATAATAAATATCGGAGAAAAGGAGGAAAAAGGTCAATTTTGGGGGGTTATGGATCATAAAAGTATAATTAAAATAAAT